ATCCTTTACTCAATAAACCCAGAGATTTCTTACAACCTGGGTACTGCTAGGAGCTCTTCTGGGGTCAGGGCTGATTTAATCTGTCATGTAGAAGTTCATGCTCCCCAGCAAACCCAGAGATCAGTCCTCAGGCCCATCCCCAGCAGGCTGAACAGAGCACAGGGAGAGGCGTGCAGAGCAAATAACCCTTTGTGGCCCCTTGGCCTCAGAGTCACCCCTGGTGGACACAGAGCACTTACCCCAGGTCAGAAGCACAGCTACTCCAGTCACCAGCCTCATACTTCAAGGACAAGCTGGGATCAGGAGCCTGGAGCTTGTGTCTGATCTCAGGCTTAAAGAGATTCCAGGGAACAGAAGCGACAGCTGCTCTTAGACACAAGGAGTGGAGCCACCACTGTGCTGTTGCCAGGACTTGTCAGCCAATGAGGGAGGAGTTCATTGTCTAGGTCTTCCTCCCATGCTCTAGTCGTGTCCCCATAAGAAGGAGGGAATATCAGACACCCCCAGCTCACAGGCTGCCCACTGTCATCATTTGAACAGTTTAAAGTCAGGCTCAGGATAAGGAGCACCATGACAATGATGTGTCTGTCCACAAGCACTGTCCCATCATCTCTTCCTTAAAGAAACTGGCTGAAGCTCCATGAAGCTCGTGGAGAACATTGTAAACCCCAGAAGACTGCACTGTGTTCTTTGTTGTAAGCAGATGAAAATTCCCATTCACGTTCCAGAAAATGTGTGTGAGGTTCAAAAGTAGGCAGTGATGTGCTCAGGGGGACAGGAAAAATTAGTAACGTTTCGAGTAATTGTAAATGTCCTGGGGCGCAGGGTTCCTCTAACGGTCCCTGGAATCAAGGATCTACCACCATCGAGGTCGACATGTCTCAATGCATCTGTTGTGACATAGTAACTGATGCCATGCATAGTGTGCCCCTCATCCTCCTGGAACAGAGGTCCTTAATCCTCGTGTCCTCTATGCCCATGCTTATAAGGGCTGTGCACCGAGGATTCTGACACAGAGGGAAAAGACGGAAGGGAAAGCAACAAGACAGGGCATGGGTGGGTGGGGGTGGTAGAAAAAGGAGAGCTAAGAAAAACAGTATAATAGGAAAGTTAAGAGATAATCAGAAAGGGAAAAAGAGAAAGCAGTTTTTAGAGGGGTACGTGGAAAAGGCTTAAGTAGGTGCCCCAGAATCTTTGGCTAAACATACTCAACAACGGATTATATAGCATAGTTTGTCAAAAAAGGGGAACGTATCTCGTTTTACATTTTTCTGTGGAACATCAATGGAAAACGTAATCTTTCCATCCCTCCTCCCTGAAGGTTTCCAGATGAAGCAGCCCCCTCTTGTGACTGAATAGATGAACTGCAGTGCTAAACCCAGGCCAAGTCAGCCAGCCATCTTTTAAGACGCTACAGGTTTAAAGTAAAACAGTAAAAAGCAATTCGCTGTAGTACCTCTTTACTCATTTTTGTTTCTTAGTCCTATAACACTTCACAGAAGGTTTTAATTATTTTTTATTGCGTTATTTCAGTAATGCCCCCGTTATGCTCAGTTGTTGGCTGCTCTTTAATTTTCCTTTCTGTCTAACCTTCCCATGTTTAAAAGATAGTGTTTATAAGAGAGGCTGACACAGCTGAGGCCCTCAAGAGGGACCTGTTCTGTGGAAATTCACACACAAATACACACACATGTCAACAAGCACTACTACTGAAAATATAGGAATAAATAAAACTGAAATTATTTAAGGTTGGTAGGAATGTATTATTTTCTTATATTAGCAAAAGGCATCAGAAAATTAACAATAACTTTTTTTGTTTGTTAGTTTCTTTGCCTTTAATTTTTAGAAGCTGGTAGAAACCACACAAAGTGTCATTCTGAATAATGTAGAACAACAAAAAATACCGTGACTATGGAGAATCTAAAAATAAGTTTTTCTAGTCTACTGTCTCATTTCAGAGGTTTTTAATTTTAGAGGATCTTATCTCTAAGACCACATGGGGGGATGTTGTCTTTCTTTTCTTGATGAAAACCAAAATTTACTTTGAGAAAATCAAGAGAATTTGATAAAGGCTAACACTTGTGTATGGTGAATACACCCATAAAACAAGATAAATTCCTGAGTTTAATAAAGTCTATCAATCAAGATACCAAAAGTCAGTGTTATGTACTACAAGATCACGAAACAGACAAGTACACTATCCCCACTTTTATTCACAGTTGTACTGGGGGGCCTGGGTCAAATCAGGAAAAGGAAATAACATGAATTAAGTTTCAGAAGGGAGAAGTTACACCCTGTTTATTCATGGGCGATACACTTGTGTAGGCAGGAAATGTAAAAGTGTCCATGAACAAATTGTAAGAACTAGAACTGACAGGGGTGTTAGTTAACAAGGCCATTAAACCCCCAAATCAATTTCATTTCTAGATTCCAGACAAAAACATTAGAAAAAGATATTAAAAAGTCATTTATCAAATACTTGTTAACTATTTTGATATAAGGCATGCAAGTACTCTACAAGAATTTTTTAACATTAAGAAAAGAAATTAGAGAAGGCCTGCATAAAGAGAATATCATATGAATCTAAAGACTCCATATATTAAGATGGCAGTTGTCCCAGATGAATCCACAAATTCAACACAATCTCAATCAAATGATGACTAATCTTTTGTGGTAAAAGCTAATTCTATAATTTATGTGGAACTGTAAAGACCTAGAATACATCTTGAATAAGAAAAAGAAATTTTGACTTGCATTTCCGGATTTCAAAACATACATGAAGTCCCAGTAATTGAGACAGAATGTTCTGTTGACATGAGAATAAAATAGACGCCAATAAACAGAATCAAAGTCAAAAATAGGCCCAAATACATATTCTATCGATTGACTTTCTCCAAAAATACCTATGCAATTCCACCGGGAATAAGGGCTTGCTAGAATAATTGCTAGAGCAAACAGCTGCTTGTGTCTTTTTAAGTACCCGTGTTTTGTAGTTGTCTTTATATCTAATTGCTTTATTGCCCTGGCTACAATGTCTAGCAGGATGCTGAAGGAGAGTGAAGACTGTGGTTATTCTTGCTTTGTTCCCAGTCTTAGAGAAAAGTACATAGACTTTTACCAGTAAATATACTATTAGCTATTGAGGAAATTCCCCACTATTTCTATGTTTCTCAGAGTTTTCACCATGGTGACTGTTGAATATTGTCAAATGCTTTTTCTATATAAATTAAGGTGATCATATGACTCTTTCTTTTATTCTGTTAATATGGTGACTGTTATCAACTGATTTTCAAACATTGAAGAAAGGTTTTCATCCATGAAAAAAAAATCCATTTGTGCTTGTTTTATATATTGATGAATTCTACTTGCTAATATTTTGTTAACAAACTTGTTTCTATATTAATGAAGGATAGTTCTCTGCAGTTTGTTTTTGTTTTGTTTTTTGGTAAGGTCTTTATCTGATTTTGGTATCAGGGGAATACGAGCTTCAAAAACTTGGTAGGAATTACTATCTTCTGGAAGAAATTGTGTAGAATTTGTGGTAATATTTCCTCATTGTTTGGTAGAAATCTGGAGTAACAACATATGAGACTGGGGATTTTTTTTTTTTT